GATGTTTCTCCTGTAAAACACCAGGCATAAAATCAAAGGTGATTATGGGCGTATGAGTGTTGTCACAACGTATACGCGACCCCTTACAGAAAATGGATAATATTCAACATATAATACATTCAAGTTTTCAATTCTTTTTATAATTTTTTTTTTAATTGATATTACAAATTATAAAGAAAATTAGCAATAAAAATTTAGCCAAAAAATTTATAATACACAATATTTAAAATGTTGAATGAAAAATAGAACATTAAACTTACCTGTGGGTAGCACTCATAGAGACATCGGTACGATCTTTTTGGTTTCGATTTTAATGTTAATTTTGAATTTTTGTGATGTGTACAGAAAACATTTTTTTGTTATGGTTGGTGATGAGTAGTGTGAGCGGGGACACAACATTAAGAGTCGAAACAAAATTTAAGCAAATTGCCACGAAGAAATGTTCAGGAGTTGGTGATATTTACGAAACCCCAGGGTTTATGGTAATATGTTGATGTTTTATGATTTTGATTAGGTAATGGTATTCAGTTTTTTGTTTAGAATTTTGCAAATGTTTTTTTGTTAATTAAATTAAAAGAGAGATAACATCCACAGCATAAAACAAAGCAAGAAAAAAAACACAAATTTATTTATGAACACAGTCACACGCACGCACACCATTTCAAAAAAGCCAAGGGCCATAATGTTTATGTTTGTTAATGTTTAGTTGAGTGTTGATGACATTGTGTTAAGAATGTTTTGTAGTTTTTGTTGTGTTTAGTGTTTAATTTAATAAATTTTTAATTAATATTATTATTTAGTAGTTTGGAAAAAACAAAAATTACATATGTTTATTTTAATGTTGTTTATTATTTTTGTTGTGTTGTGGAATTTTCAACATTAATGTGGTCATCGTGTTTTTTTTTTCGTTTCATTTAAATACCAATTTGTTTATTAATTATTTTTAACACCCGTGTCAAAGTTTGTGTGCAGATGTATGAGTATTTATGTTATTTTATGACAATGTTTTTGTTGTTGGTATTTTTCCATTTGGTTGGAATGTGTTTTGTTTTCCCATTTTTAATTGGAAATGATTGTAGGGATTTGTTGTCATCGATTAGTTTTCAAAAAAGTTTTTGTTTGTGTTTGTGTTTTTATTCGCATTTAATTAGATGTAGTGTTTTGTTTTTGTTGTTGTTTTTATTGCAAATGTGATGATATGTTTTTAGTTGTTGGTGTTGTTGTTACAGAGTTAATGAGTTTTGTTGGATTTTGTTGGATTTTTTGTTGTAGTTATAATTTTTTTAGTGTTTTAGCATTCAGGCACACACACAGACAGACACATTCACATTTTGCATATATTTGTGTTTTTAGTTAATAACATTTAGTTGTATTTTGTTGTTGTTTTTTTTTTGTGGCATTTGTTGTGTTTATCAAAAGCATTTGCATTTCGTTTTTTTGTTTGTAGTGGTTCGTGTTGTTGTTGTTACATTTGTTGATTATTTACATTTGGCAAAAAAGCATAACATAAAAAAAGCATTTGAAAAGAGATGAAAAAAAACATATATTTGTATTTAATTAATTGTTGCAACATTTTTGAAATATTTACAGTATTATAATAATAATAAAATGTTTTAGACAAATAAAGCATTAAACGAGGAAAACAATTGAATTTGATATAAATTAAAAGTTTATAACAATTTATATGATTTATTTGAAGAAAAAACAAAAACGTAGAGTGAAGAGAGAAATGGGGTGATAAATTAAAAGGGAGTCTTAGAATGAAAAAAGTTTTAATATTTGTTTTAATTGTTTGCATAACCCATACGAACCCCTCCCTCTGTGCTGAGTATGCAATTGAAAATGTAATCATAATTAATAACATGTATACGCCCCGGGTCACATAAATCATATGTTATATAATAGAAATTAATATTTGACCTGTTTTTGACCCATTTTTTTCTAGCTAATTTATTTTATTTGTTTTTAATTTCAGGAAATAGAATGGAATGGAAAGATATCTAATATCACAAAAAATATTGTTATAAAATTAAATGTCATTATGAAAAACATACTAGGAAAGGGTATTAAAAGGTTCTTCTAACCGACCTATAATGAGGTTGCTTGGGATAAAACATAATGGTGTATACGTATTAACATAAATTATACGCTCAAGACCACTAACTTTGTTGCCACCTATTGGCTAATATTTGAAAAAAGACAAATGTCAAGATGAGCCTTTTATAAAGTAAAATTATTGATAATGATATAAGTGTTGGGTGTTTTAGGGATCTGATACTGCTCTGTTGTGCAGTTTGCTTAAGATAAAACATTATGGCGTATACGTATTGATATAACGCATACATCTAAAAGTCAGACTCTTTGTGGTCACCTAAATTCCATCTTAAGACGTACATTTTTAAGGAGCAAAGCTGGAAAAGACCTCAAATTCTATGAATAAACACTTCGCAATTCCTTTCAGAATTATGGGAAATTCTCAATGAATTAAGAGGTACCTATGGGCGTATGAGGGTTGCCACAACGTATACACCGCCCTTTATTGAAAACGGAAAATATTCAACAAATTAAAAAATTTCAGTTGTTTTTATATTTTTTCTTAACTGAGGCCGATGATATTAACATATTGCATATTTTATATAAGTCCCTGAGGTCTAAAAATTTAACAAAAATAGCTTATTTGTAATTGTATTAAAGATAATTATTCACAATTCTCTGAGGACTATAATAGAAACATTTTCATAGGCGTAGGTCTCTAATACTCTAATTTTTTAGATGTTTTGTGTGTCTCTCAGTACGTCCCTATATTAATCCTATAAAATCTTCTTCGATGGTATCTGAGGTAATGAAAGTTTTTTATGGAATATTTTCAATAGTCCACGGTGGTCTGCAGTATTTTATAGAATTCGTATAGACCTCTACAAATCTATAGAGAATTAGGTCTCCAAGGTGTTTAAAGATTTTTCAGAGGCCTCTTAAGCTTTCAGAATTGTGTACAATAATTTGTATACGCCTTTGATTTGATAACAAAATTTATCATGGGACTCAGAGGTCCATAAAATAATATGGAGCATTTTCGTAGAACTCTGAAGTTTTTATTTTATTTATTTTTTAATTTAATAAGTTGTCTCCTTAATATGAAGAATTTTTGGTATACATTTCAATGTGCAAAATAACTCAATTTTAATGCTGTTTTACAGGAGAAACAGTTGACATAAAATCAAAAGTGATTATGGGCGTATGAGTGTTGTCACAACGCATACGTCACCTCTTACAGTAAGTAAATAATATTCAATATACTTTCAAGTTTTCAGTTTTTTTTTTAATTTTTTGACTGCGGCCGATATAAACCTATTGAATATTATTTATAAGTCCTTGAGAACTGAACATTTAATAAAAAAAGCTCCTTTCAAACAATTTTTATACGAAATTCCATCCTGATATATGGGTAACGTTCAAATGCTGATTAGAACATATTTGATGTATACGTATTGACATAAAGTATACTGCAAACCGTCATTGGTCGCCTCAATTCATTTGATGGCCAAAGTCACATATTTTATTATAGTGTAATCTTTTATAGTAAGCAAATCTTTTGTAAAAAAATTTAAATTGTTCAATTTAGATTTTTTTTCGTTCTCTTTTTCCAAAAGTTCCGTATCACAACTCATAATAAATGAATATATAACAATTATATGCACCCAAATACAACCTGAATTCAAGAATTATTATTCATAATACGGCACAATGCACCAATTCTGTGTCGAGCTTTCGCTCCAGGAAACTATCTTATTTTTTGAATAATTTTACATTAAGAAAATATTTTGAGATTGTTAGAAAATAAAGTTTGTTCTTTGAATCAATATTATTTTTAATTTCTTTCCTATTAAATCCCGAACTCACAACAAATAAATTAATAGCAACCATACGCTCCCACATACAAATCGGATTTAATAATTATTGTCAATCATACGGCACTGGCAACCAGTAACTATTTATCACCCAATTTCTTTCTTTCACCCTTTTTTTCTTATGTGTGTTTTGATAACATATTTTATAATAAAAAAAATATGCATACAAATTTTCTTTTTTGTCTTAAATTCGAGGAAATTATGAAACATATGTTTTTATATAATTTCTTGGAATATGTGAATAGACACATGGACATGAATCGGATTGTTAAATTTGGTAAAATGGAAATAAGGAATCTAATTTTTATATTTGTGATATGAAAATGTTAAAATATTTCACAATTGGATTGAAAAAAATTTAAATATGAATAAAATTTTCCATAGAGGTTTGACAAATATTTTGAAATGACTTAATAGGGAAATGAAGTTTCTGTATGCTATGACTTGGAAAAATGTGTATATGAATACTAGAAATTGAATTTTATTTTGAAAAAATAAAATTATATTTTTTATGCTGTCCATTTTTTAAAACTATCCTATTTAATCAGGACTATTTTTCCTTATTTCTATGCTTTTCTATTATTTCTTAATAGGTATTTTCGTAATTTGGGTTTAAAAAAGTTGTTAATCTTATTGAAATGAAAACATTTATAAAAAATGGGAAGAAATTCATGCAAAAACATGCTTTACATGCCCACATAATTTTTTTCTTTGGATATAATAAAGCGTTGTGGCTGAAGAAAAAGGCCATGCAAGCGTTTAATAAAATTAAAAAAACTTTTTAGGTAAAGACAAAAAATAATACATTTAAAAAATCTTATAGAAAAATAATATATATTACAAAATATATAAAAATAATTGTAAAAATAAAATAAGTATAATAATATATAAAAATAATAATAATAATGAAATAAACATTAAATAATAACCCTAAACCTTATTTATTTATTTTTTTAAATAAATTTCCTTTGGGATTTGTTTGTTGTTTTGCATTTCAGGGAAAGGATTTGTATTTAAAAAGTTTTGTTGTGATATCCTTGCAATAAATTCTTTCGTTTTTTTCTTTAGAAAATAACATAAAATTGTACTTACATTTATCTTGACGTCTGCGCCGGCGACAAATGCAAATGATAATACAGCAAATAATTATCACAGCCAACAGCAGAACCAATATGCTGGCAACCAATATGATTAGGGCTGGCTTGTCCCAACGCTGCCACCAGGCTAGTTGTTCTGTTGATAGGGATGAAACAATATTATTATTAGTTAAGAAATTAAATTATGTCCTTTAAATATTTATAAGAAATCAAAAAAACATTCACAAAATATAATTTTCAAAACTCAAAATATTTTGTAACATAGAAAAGAAACATAAAATTAACATAGAGTTTCATTTCATGCTTGGTGTAAAAAAATAAAAAAATTATTATATAGAAAGATATGTATTTTTTGTGGATATTAAAAATAAATGGTAATAGTTTTTCGTTTGAAAATATAAAGTGTTTTAATAATAAAATATTATTTTTTAATACAATATTTATTATTTATAAAAAAATAATTTTTGTTACGTATTCGACAGGTAGTTCACTTGTAATGTGTTATTAATATTACTTATACGCTCCAATGGTCCAATAAAAATTACTAATTATCAATCATACGGCACAGAGAACGAATAATAATAATTTATATTCCAATATAATTTTTTATCTATTTATCTTCAAGTGTATTTGTTAACATTTCTTATAACTAATTCGAGATTTTAGATTTTTTATATAAATAATTTCCAGAATCAGAGCCCTATATATGGATTCTGTGGTATCCTATTTCTTTTTGTAATTCTCCTTTATTGTATTATTGAATATATTTCGGCTATTTCTGGACTTCAAATATTTCGTATTGAATTAATTAGAGCTTTGAAATTAGAATCAAGAATAGATGCAATAAAAACAAGCATACGCTCTCATATACATTGCATTTAATAATTATTATCAATCATACGGCACAATCCAGATAAGGATTTAATCGGGTCAATTTTAGGGATAATGATTTTGTTACTGATACTTTTCAAAATCGCACTACAAAAACTGATAATTTTAACACCATACCCTTTGCAAAAATTTAGAACTACAATTTAGTTTTGAAATTCCAAAAAAGTGGTGGGAATGGCATGGAAAGGAATGTTGTAGTCCTAACTTATGTTTGTGGAAGCTGCCTGGATGGAATAGGTCCAATATTTAAAATCTTTGGTTGTATATTCATATTTCGTCTTTAATTTATTAGAGTTTTGGAATTAGATCTAATAATAAATTAATTAATAGTAATAATACGCTCCCATATATACCCTGCATTTAGTAATTATTATCAACCATACGGAACAATTATCTTAATGTTGAATGCTAGTAAAATGAAAATCAATCACCGAATTTTATTTCTAAATAGTCCTACTTTATTTGTTTCAAATATTGGAAAATTTTTATGAAGGAAAAGAGTAATCCGCTATTAGAAAGAAAATTATCGTTATGTATGAATTAAATTGACGGGAAAATTTAGTCCTATCTTATGTATGTGGAAGCTGCCTGGATTTAATGGGTCCAATATTTGACAATTTTCGTGTATATTAATAATTCGTATTTAAAACTAGAACGCCGAAGGCAGTCATTTTGACCGCTTTCCAATTTCAAGTACAAAAGCAACTGTGTATTTCATGACATTTTTTTTTAAAATTTGATGAATTTTTTTTATAATAAACGTAATTCTATGAGGTACAAAAAGTCACCAAATTTAAAAAAAAGTGTCATTAAATGCACAGTTGCTTTTGGACTTGAAATTGGAAAGCGGTCAAAATGACTGCCTTCGGCGTTCTAGTGTTAATTGAATATAGTTTCGAAATTAGAATTAATAATAAATAAATTAATATGAATCATACGCTCCCATATACACCCTGCATTTGCTTATTATTATCAATCATACGGCACAAGGTACCTTAAGGTACCTTGTGCCGTATCAATCATACTGGATTTTATTTCAAAATGGTCATATATTATTATTAAAATGTTGAAAATTCATTATGAAGGAAAAAATGAGAACGAGCCCAAGGGAATAATATTTTGCCTAACAATGTAATACAGGGACTCTTTTTTTTGGTTTTTCTTGAATGTCTTTGCCAAATGTAACATATACACAAAACTCCACCTCTTAAGGTATTGCATTACAAATTCCTTACTTTGTTAACATTTTTACCAAGAAATATTTTGTTTCAGTTCTTGTTTTTCCCCCGCTTTACATTTCTTAACATTCATTACATTTTGTCATGGTTGTTTGTTTTTTTCTCTTACCAAGATTTGTATTCTTTTCTTGGTTTCTGTGCAAAAAAGTCCTCTCCTCAGTTATGTGATTTACTGTGTTACAATTTTTACATAAGCACATTTTACTTATGTATGTTAAAAGTAAAAACCTATCATAACAACATTTCAAATTCCATACATCTTTCGAAATCCATATTTCTAGTGTTCCTGTTTTTTCTTTTGCTTCTGTTTTTCTACTTTTTATTATTATTATGCCCTTAAGGATAATATGTCGTGCTACTTACAAGCACTATTCATTGTAAAATGTCTGCAGACAATAGCAGTTGCAAAAAAAGGAATCACATAACATGTCTTGTCATATTCATAGACGTCACATCGTCAACTCTGGGCAAAATTTGAATGAAGTACCCAAGCAGACGACAGCGACGCCAGGAGAGCGATGTAAAGCAAAAACAAATGACATTTTTCTACCTAAGAGTTATTGTATTTCCATTCTAGGAAGGTATGCCGTTATGTTTTTTTTTCTATGGATGTAGTGTGACAATAGTTTGTTGTGAGTGTGTGTGTGAGAGAGAAAGAGTACCTGTATGTACCTCACTCCTTGCCTTGCTTTTGTGGTATGAAGTGTTTATTAAGAGTCGTTTTGTATTTCATATTTGTTTTCATTTTTCAGAGTTTTTTTGTTGTTGTTGGTTTTGAAATGTAACATTGGCTCGTAAGTAGAAATGTCATTTGACTATAATGTTGGTTATGTGATATTCATAAGAAACAAACTACTAGTTACATATCTAAAGGATTTTCTTTGGTAAATACCAAGAAAGGTTGGGAGTGTATCATAGAGCTATGATTTCCTTGTCAGTCTTATCTACAGTGTGTGGGTATTGATGGTTGTTGTTGTGATAGTTTTATAGATAATTTCTAGCTAAAAAGATACTTTGATTTTTTTGTAATGTCACCTAAAGTGTAAATATTTACGTTGGTGTTGTTGAAAATGTGTTTAAAGTGTAACTCTTATGGGTGTAATAAAAATAAACAAGGTAGACGACGACACTTAAGGTGTGTGGTTTCAAACTAAATAACAAATAAAAAAGAAATAGAATAGTTAATAAAACTGAAAAAATAAAAACATTATTGGTATCAAGTAATTACATTATAAAAGTAGAAAAAAGTAGAAATTATCAAGTAGGGAAATACGGAATGTATTTTCACAAAAAATATATAATACACAAATGTATCGCTTTTGAAGAAAATATATTTTTAATTTGAGAGGAAATCTATGGCCTGCTTCTGTAATATATTTGAAAACAGCAAGCTAAATACTATAAAATAAAAAATGCTATAGAATACTATAAATAAAAATTAAAATATATTGGGAGGTAACACATTTTTACCTCCCAATATATTTTAAACTGCAATGAATTCACTATTTGTATTAATTTTCGTTTGACATTTATCAAAAAATATTTTATTAAAAAGGTTTTTTATTATTCCCACGAATTCGATCTTTAGAAATATTTAAGTAGAAACCAATAGTCTTATCATTGAAAAAATAAATATTATTTATAACCTGGGGTTTACAAATGACGTTTTGGAGACTAGTTTGGATATTTTCTTTAACACCCGTTATAAAAAAATTAATAACAATTACACGCACCCATATACACTCGGCATTTAATAATTATTATCAATCATACGCTACACTGCACCTTTTGGTTGGTCTTAATGGCTTCAAATTGCATTTTTGGAATAAATAAACTAAACTAAACTAAATAAACTGTATTGAATAAACTATTTGTATTAATTTAATATTCAAATTAATCAAAACGTATTTTATTACAAACTGATGATTCCGATTTTTAAAATTATTTAAGTAGGCAAAGACGTAGGTAGTAGGTACGACTATTGAGTACCTGAAGTTTACAAACGACATTTTTGAGGAGAATTTTTTAGATATTTTTTGTTATTTGTGTACATATTAGATTTATTACGGTTCGTAATTAAAACCCACAATAAATAACAATTAATAATAATAACGATCATACGCTCCCATAAACACACGTCATTTAATAATTTTTATCAATCATACGCTACACTGCACCTTTAAGTTAAATGTTTTTAAAATGGCAATTTATTGCCGGATTTTAATGAATTGAATTTTAAAAAGAATATATCAAAGACTGAAACCATTTTTCTCAATACATTTGTTCTTTATATAGTCATATACGATAATTAAAAATTGATCTTTCCCTCTTGAAATTGAGATTTGTGTTCAAGTTGTTTGGATGCCTGTGTCGTAACAATAATTTTTTTTAATTATTTGACAATTAATGAACAATAGTAAGTGCCCTGTCGTTTGTAAACGAAAATTTTAAATACGAAACAAACTTATTCGAGCGGATAGATACCCAAAAACCTATGTATTCAAATGATATTTATTTCCTGCATTACGGAAACACTATACAACCGACTCTATAATTAGATAAATTATTTGAATTTGCTTTTTTCAAATTTTATAGAAACAGGCCATTATAAACCAAAATTAATTTAATATAAACATTTTTTTTGTGAAAATACATTTGTGTATATTTTTGTTGTTAATTTGTCTACCATTATTATTTTTTTGTTTATCAAACTTACTTCTAAGACGCACTGCAAGCCATATTATCAAGTAAGCATCGACGAGGGAAAGGAAGAAAAGCATTTTCAAAATAAATATTTAATATATTAATAAGCATATTTTCCAAAAACGGGTATTTAGCAGCATTAAATACATTACATTACAATTAAATAACTTACAATAAACTAGCATATAAATTTATAACACCATACAATATTAGTTGTGAATAAGAGAAATTTTTTATTTCGATTTTGTAGATGAAGAGGGAAGTGGGGGATACTTGGAGGTAATCATATATATTTTATTGAGATTTTCATACTACACACACAATTTATTGGATAAGACCCAAAAAAAACCTCAGGTTATTTTGGTGGTATTTTTTGAACAACTCATAATCTTACCCATACGCTTAATGAATTCAATAAATTAATAGCAATCATACGCTCCATAACATACACCGCATTCAATAATTACTATCAATCATACGGCACAATGTTCCTAAAGGTTTAATCCCAGCAATTTTAAAGGAAAATATTTGCATTGAAAATTTACAAATTTTAATATTTACATTTTTAATCTCAAATTTACATTTTTAATATCATCCAAGACGATTTATTACAATATTTAAGAGTTTCAATCAATTGGAATGTTTCATATTTTTTATTTTTTAGGAGCTATATAAATTTGCCAAAATATATTTTTGAAAGAAAATTCCTTATATCGTAATTTCAAATTTAAATTTTAAATATCAGCCAACACGATTTATTAGAATACTTCAGAGTTTCATTATATTTTGGAATATTTATATTTTTTGTCAGGCCCTATATAATTGTTTCCAAAAATATGTGTGAAACAAAATTCCGTATGTGGTAATGAATGAATGAAATCATATGGAATCTGCGTGGGCCCATATTTGGATATATATTTTTTTTAAATGAAATTCATATTGAACCATAGTAAAAAAAAAATTAATAACAATCATACGCTCCCATATACAGGTAGCATTTATTAATTATTATCAATCATACGGCACTTTGTATCTTAAGGTTGAATGTTTGACAATTTATCACTCACTTCTCTTCAAAATATTATTAATTATTTAAAGAAAGGTTTAATAACAAAAATCTATAATATGCTAGAAATAATATTATGGATGAAATAATTTGGAAACTAATCCAAAGGGCTTTATAAAACAATTCCAAGGAAATTACATGATTTCTTTTTTCTTTCCTCATCCAGATGTAACAAATGAATCGAAAACCTCAACTCTTAAGATATTCCATTACAGATTCTTTACATTGTTAAGATTTCTACTACAATATATCTTGTTTCATGTTCTTTTCACTGTGACATTTGGCGAAATTAGTATGAATAGAACACAACGATAATCGTCCTGGACGCCCGAGTACATCGACAACCAATGAAAATATTAAAGCAGTGAAGAAATAATTTTGAATAACCGTCGAGCAGAAAAAATCAGCATTGGAGAAAATGTAGAAATGTGTAGGGATTGAAGGATATGTAAAGATTGTCCGCCAATTGAAAGGAGGTTATTACAACATTTCATGCTGTATTTCACAACAAGTCAAAAATAATTAAAAAATAAGTATTTTTTTCGCCCAAAATGAACACTTGTATTCATTTACCTTTCCACCATATAATGTAGAACGGTGTGGCTGTGGAGTACATAAAATTAAAAATAATATACAAAATATATAAAATAATACAAATGACAAATAAGAACTTAAATAATAAGAAAAATTTTACATTGACATTAAATTATTGTCAATAAAAATCCAATAAATAAATATACAGTAAAAATAAAATAAAAATCAAATAATCTATTTCAAAAAAAAATTCTTCCATTAATCTTGAGAAAATTTCAGGGATCACAGACAATGAACCTCTATCTTTTGACGGAAAATTTATTATTTTATTTTTAAAGAAAAGTAAAATGTATAGTGTTTAAATAAACTTTGATCGTAGATTTTATAATATATTATTTATAAATATTATCCAATTTTTTCTCTCTCTATAAAAACTTATTATTTATTCACTTTCAGTAAAAACAGTTCCATATAATTTCAAATTCGTTATAATCCCAAATCTCGTCACCATGGCCTCTTAAAATCTCGTTCAATTTTTTGTTTGTAATTTTTTATACACTCCATTATAATCTCCATTGGCATTCAGAATTCATGGCAAAGCAATTTTACTTCTTGTTTTCAAATCTTTTACCACATTTCAATTAAGGCTATTCCCTTGTCTCGCCACAGCCATGGTTGGCTATAATCAGCAGCTCGTTGTTAATTTATTCAATTTCAATTTTGTTTTTTTATCAACATAGAACAAAAATGAAACAACGAAAAATCTATCAAAAAACGTTAAGAGGAAACGAAGTGAAAAAAATCCAAAGAGTAATGGAAACTCAGCCAAACGAAAAACAAACGTCCATAATAAAATCAGCACCAGTCAAGTAATGACTAAAAAACCGAATCGAAGCGCTAAAAACAAAGCGAGAAAACTTGAAAACTTTATATTATAATCTTTATCATTGTCAGCTGTTGAAATTAGCTTAACCTCATGAGCTGAATCAATGGCGGGAACTTTCATGGAATTCAGCAAACCATAACAAAAAAAGAATCGTTCTTTGGTCCGCACACTTATTTCGGGTTTTTTCGTTGTACTCGTTGAGTTGAGTAAGATTGTGCCAAATCCTCAAACAATTTAGATTGCAAGTTAAAAATAGGGATTTCCAGAGACAGACAGACAAACAGCCAGCCAGTTGTGTAAGAGACTGAACATTGAATGGCCACAATCAAGTGCTGGGAGATTTATAAAACCCACAAGCTTTTTGTCAAACACCCTTCCCCATTCCCTCCACTTTTTTTAGAGTGGCCATTCACGCACACTTTGAAATTTTGTATTCACACTTTGAGACTTCCACAACAGCAGCTGGAGCAATAGCAATTGTAGTCGAACACGAAATGAATGTACGAACCCGGAAACTGATTACTGTCAATATTTGTTTCATTTGTATGTTTCAATACACCACTAACAATGCAGTTGTTGTTGGTGTTGCTGTTGGGAAGTTTGATTTGCTGGGTTTGGGTTGACTTGGTATGGCATGGTATGATGTTGTAGGTATTGCTGTTCCGTTTCCTGTTACTGACAATTGGGTGTTCAGTTGGTGTTCCGTTCTTTACTTCTTATTTGCTTTCGGCCAGGCAATACTGTGATTAAACGCTTGATGGTTGGGTGGGTGTATTGGAGATGGACCTTTGAGGCTTGTGATGGGCCGAAAAGTAGGGTTTTAATATTTTCGGAAAATGAGGATATGTTTCATGTGAAAGAATATTTTCTTCGATTACGAAAAATCAAACCTAGAAATTGTCTATCATTCTATAGTCATGACAAGGGTCTCAAGTATATCGTGGGACCGAATTAGACCTCACTTGAAAAAAAAAACATTACAATGGGCTACTGTGGCGTATGAGGCATGACAATATGTATACGCCACCACTTTTAAGTATGGATTATTGAAAATATATATTTATTCAGATCCTCAGCAAGGCCTGGTGGAACATTTTTCCTAAGGCGTGGATTTTTAAAGAATATATATATATATATATATATATATTATATTCTGAGCCTCCGTAAAGCGTGGATTTTTAACGAATATTTTGTTCCTATCGTTTCTACCGCCCTATAGAGTACCGACGATTTGAATATAAGCTCTACAGAAGAGAATCTCAACACAGGCTCACTAAGTTGAAGAGGAGTCCCACACATGTATAAAAAAGTGAAGAGGAGCTCTACAGAACCTACTTAGACAGAAGAGAAACGTTAGAGGGATTGATAAGTTAAAGAGGAGCCTTTATAGGACTCCGCTTAAGTGCAGAGGTGGGATTATATAATTTTTTTTGAGACTCCTTAAGTAATTTATACTCTCCGAAGATTTTTCTACTCATTCCACTCCTACTCTTCGAACTAAAAATTCCACAAACGCCATCCCTAAATTCCAATGGGGCTGTTCTTCCTCTGATAAAATGTTCTGCGTTCCGTTTTGGTTTTTTTCTCTCGCTAACGGAAATATCAAACCGCCAGTCATGATGTTGCAACAATAGTTGCGTGCCTGGCATCAGCGTCAATGTTAATTCGGGGCAGTTCATTCGTTCGTTCGTCTGTTAGTTTAGTTTTCCCTCTATAGAACTTTGGTTATTGACCATTCCACCATGCCACCCATTTTGTCTTCTTTTGGGTAAATATCGTCACTCGTATAGCAGTGTGACTGGGAATTAAGCACGTGCTGTTTGAATACTCCTAAACAAGAGAGTCGTGTTTCCTTCCTTTTGCGTTTTGGTAGAAGATATGAAAGTTAAAAAAAAAACAACAAAAACAACGACGAATGGATAGTCAATATTTTTACATACAGACATACATTTACTAGTTGTGTTTGATTTTTGGTCCAATGATGGGGGCCAATGTTTGAGTTTGAGTTCGGTTTTCCTATCTTTCATTCAAACAGATTTTTGGAATTAGTTGGTACTTTTGGCCAAATCCCCTAACCTTCACACCCACCACCACTTACATTTCATTTACTGCCTGGCAAATTATTGTTCCTCTACTTATCTTGGAAGTTAGGGAGTAAAGTTTTTTTCATTCGGTGGACATTTTTGGTATAAAGATTTTTCACAGCTGAGGCTATTTTTGTTAAGTATTTCCAATTTGTTTGTTGATTATTTTTTCGTTGTTGTTTTTTCCTTCGCTGTCGTTACTTTTTCAAAAAATTTAATATACAATCTATATAGATTGGCTTGGCTATTTCGTTCGTTATTTGCTGTTGATAACCCACCAGCAGCTACAGCTTCCTCTTGATCTTATTTTTCTTTTAGATATTAGGAAACGGAAATTGATTTCGCTGTTCTTACACTTCCTTGAGTAGATTTGCTGCATGGTAGGTGGTTGTTTGGATTTTTTTTTTAATTTTTTCTTTTCGATGGTGCACCACATTGTGAACTTGAGAATTGCAAAAGCGGAATTTACCCAAAATGCTGGTTTTTGAGGGAACCTCAAAAAACCTCAGGATTTCCTTGGGTAAAATACTAGGAAAGTTGTATTCAAGGCCAAGCTTGCTGGCTTGAGGGGGTTTCTCTTAGTTTGTTTTTGATGTTTTTTTTTGCAAATTTTTTTTTTATTCTCAGAAAAGCTGTTTACCATTTTGGTGTAGCTGAGATTTACTTACATTGTTGCAAAATATTATATTTTGTTTTGTTTTCATTATTTTAAATAAAGAAAAAGAGGGATTTTCTTTGTTCGGAATTAATTTACCAGACCTTGAGTAGAAAAAGAACTTGATATAAAAACTAATTCCTATAGATTTTTAGTCAAAAATTACAATTTAAAATATTCGGCTGGGTCTTCACCACGAACTACAGAAAATCTGCCAGGAATATTATATGAAGTATCAAGGAGGATTATTGTGAAGCAAATAATTACCATTTTGAATATAAGGCTTGGCAGCCCGAAAGGAGATGGAGAATTTATATTTGAGCTATGTGACAAAAGTGGAAACCTATTACCGAAAAATTTGAAAGGAAGATCGATGTTGTGAAAGACAATAGATTTCGATTTTGGGCACACTGCACAAAGGTCAGGTAACAGCTTTAAGTGTGGAGGTGTGGATTCCTAGAGATAAATATCCGAAAAATGAAGCAGAGGCACACTTAGGTGAAGAGCTCTATAAATATTCAATCTACTTAGATGAATAGGTGAAAAGGAACTGTCTGGAGGGTTCAGTGAGTTGAAGAGGAGTGCTATAAATGTCCGCTTAAGTGCAGAGGTGGGATGATATTAATTTGAAATGCTATTTTGTGAAGAGGAGCTAAATCTGTCTAGACATTTCACAAGAAGCTCTACAGAGGTCTACTTTGAGGAATAGGTGCACGAGCGAAAAACAGCCATATAAACCACGAGGAACACAAGGGGAGTCCACTTAGAAGCAATAAGGAACTCTCTACAGGGATCGATGAGGTATAGAGGAGTCCCAAAATTGTCCGCTTAAGTGCGGAGGTGGGATGATATTAATTTCAAATGTTATATTTAGTTATCAGTAGTTCACTCGAATGAAGCTTAACAGCTGAGTATGGATTTATATCTTGTAATAACCCCAAAACCGGACCTCTTAAGATACCTTTTGCTATCGATACAATTCGATGTAAGAGGGAGATTTTTATTGGGAACTATTGTAAAGCATAAATTCCCCGCTAAATTGAAATACTTCCTCTGAAAAAAATATGCTGGAGGTATACAAATAAAAGTTTAATTTTTTAAACAACTCAAAATTAAATCAATATTCAAGTAATTTACAATTTTTCAATATTTCCCCTTCGGTGACAAATTTCCATCGATTTTTTTTCTCTTGAAAAATTGTTCACTTCCTTGTTATTTGTCTCACTTAAAAGGCCATACATCAATGGACTTCCATTATAATTAAATCGACGAAAAGCCATGGGACTATTAAGGGAGGGAGGATAACAAATAAAACTACCCCAAAATGGAAGAAAGGCACACACACACACTTCAAATCAATGCACAAGGTAAAAGGACGACCAAGACTTTTACTCAATTTCACGTTGGCCGATGCCGAAGCCAAATGAAACCTAAAAAAAAAACCTGGTACGACTTTAGCAGGCAAATCACAAAGTGCATTTATTTCCTCTTCAATTGGTTTTGTTGAAAGCTTTTGTTTGCCTCCTTCTTCTTCTTCTTTTGTTGTTCTCTTTTACTTATTTTGTGCTACGCTTATTTGTATTTACTTACCGGCAACTTCGATTTCACAGAATGTACCCACACCAACAGAATTATTGGCCACACAGCGATAGGTACGTGCAATTTCATAATCTTCCTTGAGTACATAATAGCTTTTATCCTTAAACGTTTTACTGTCACCGCTGCCCAACGATTCGACCGATTCATTTTCAGCCTTAATTGACCATGAAAAATCGGCCTGCAATGAAAGAAAGAGAGGAGGAGAATATGGAGTATAAGTAAAGGGAAAATGGATGAAAAAAATGAAAAACGAAAAAAAAAATTAAATCAATGGCGATAAATTGAAAAATACAAAAAAGCAAAATGAAACGTACAGCAATAAAAGGAGCTGATGACATTTCTTTAATAAAAGGCCACCACATCACTCCCCCTCCCACACACACACACCCACCCACCACGAGGACCACAAGAACTCTCTAGCCAAATCTGATTGGGCATAAAATGCTATTCTCCCTTACCTTCCCTTTTTGTTTGATGATTGCTTAAGTTGCATGCACATTTCTGATGGAAGAATGGATGGGGGAGTAAGAGCACCATCAAAAGAGCTTGAGAGAACGGGTGTGTGTGTGTGCATGTTTGTGTTTATTTGCTGTGGCCCTGCCATTTTTTGGAGTCATTTAAATACCGTTTATATTTGTTTTTAACATTCACCCCATTCGTTTTTTGCAGTTTATGTGTGTGCGAGTGTGTGTGAGTGTGCTTCGTCTTTAATGACATTTAATTGTATACGAGTCAAGCACCCTACGAATGTTAAAATGCCAATCAATTGAAATAAATTGCGCAAGAGACGAGTGTAAATATTGATATTGTGACTTCTTTTGGGGGCTTTTTTTTTGCCAAGAAAGAGAAGTTCTCTGAGTGATTATGAAATGTTGAAGGGGAGAGGGAGAGAGACGATGGCTAGGCATTATTTGTTTAAGAATTGTCAATACCTCAATCAATAAAGGCAAATGAGGTATAATGAGAGACAGAATTTTGTGCTCAAATGGGGGAAAGGTAATACTAAAGGGGGAACAATGTCAGCATTCATTTTATAGGGAGTATACTTAAGTCGTAGGAATTAAATATAAGCCGAATCTGTAAATTTATCTAGAATTTTACAATTTTAAAATTGATACAGCAAATAATAACAATATAAATGTTGTCTAGATCAATATCATCAAACTCTGCATTTGAAATCACAATACATTCCCTATAATTATTAATCCAGACAGAAATAATAGGCAAGGTGAGGGACAAGGGAGTCTGCACAGAAGAGGGTCTAGCCACACAACTCTGTATTTATAGATCTGGTAAAGAGCCAGAGATTTTTTTATAGAAAAACTGAAAGACCTGGAGGCCTAGTGAGACCATATATAGACCAGATAAACAGACAGAATTTTTTTTAGAGAAACTGAAATGCTCGGACCTTTAATGAGACTATATATAGACCTGGTAAAGAGACAGAGAATTTTTATAACGAATCTGAAGGAGGCCTGGTTAGACTATATATAGACCTGGTAATGAGCCAGGGAATTTTTGCAGAGAAGCTGAAGGGGAATTTTTGCAGAGAAGCTGAAAGGAAGTATTATAGACAACCTAAATGGGCAGGGAGTCTGCACGGACGATCTAAGGGGTAAAACGCATTTATATACAATGTGTCTATATAGACCTGCAGAAGAGCCAGAGATTATTTCATAGAGAAAGTGATAACAAGTTAAGAAGCTAGGTAATTGTAGTATAGCTAACGGTCGATCGATTTTATATATAGCTGATCAGAAGACACCGGGAGTATTTCTAGACGAGCTCAAGGTTTAATAAGTCTATATATAGAAGAGCTGAATAGGTAGATTATTTTATAGATGACCTGAAAAGTCAGTGAGTCCTTATAAACAAGTTGAGGGCAAGGCAGCCTTTATGGACAATCTGATAGGACAGGCAGCAGTAGGCTTCTCAAACATGGGTTTTACAAACCATATAAGCGACAATTTTGCTTGCTGACGTTGTCACCGAGGCGGAAATACGCCTCATCAGTAGAAATTACTTTTAGAATTCCGTATTATTTTCACAAAAATCCAATGTAATAAACGATATATGTGGAACGCCCAATTCCAAAGACCTACGGAAAATTGACATATGTGGGGTTCTCAGTAATATTTTCAGCTGTAGAAGTTGAGCGGCATAACCTGAGAAACCCAAAAGTAAAATCAGAGACATTTTATATAGAACATTCAGTTCGATACATGTTGCGGTCTACGCAAAATGTAACGCCAGTATGGACCAAATGACTAAAACATGTGAAGACATTTATGGGATAAATTATTTGCAGGTAGATTTTCATTCTCTGAGAAAACGAAATACCAAATTACAAACACTCTGACTGGAATAATCGGCTAAGACATGTATATGAGATGTGTCAAAATATAAAGCAATGTTGAAAAAATTCGACCCTGAATTTTATCCTCTAAAACCCGAAGTAATAACGGTAAAGAATCAAAAAAAAAATGTTTAAAGTGCATCGGGAAATTTTTATGTCGCCGCTGTGGAAGCATGTTTCTATAATGAAATATTTTTCCGAAGATGATTGTTACCAAGGACATGGAACGTCAAGAACACGAACATGCTCCTAAGAACATGAAGATATGAGAAAAAGGAGAAAAAAATATCAAAACATGGACCTAAAGGTCCCGACGAATATTTCAAGGTTTCCTACGAATATTTTTGGTCTTCGAAGGAGATATATTTATTGAAACTTTGCAATAAATTCACTCATTATAATATTGCGAATATCTTTTGATAATTTTGGAGTAAATAAAAAAATAATAATAAAAAAACCTCTTGAAAAATATGAAAGAAAAATAATTAAACATTTTAACCAAATCTACAACTTCTGTAATTTCAAGCGATGTTCAGTTAAATAAAAAAATATTTTTTATAAAAAACCCCAAATATACTTTTTTTATTGAAAACTATATTTTCCCTTAAATGATAATATTTCATTTTAAAGTTCTACGTATGCCGTTTTCCTAAATTTAATTAATCAACAACAAGTCAAAATGTTATTACACAATTTTCATGTTGTTGTTTTTGGTTTTTTTTTTTGTTACTTTTCAACCACCAACTTGTTGTTCTGTGGATTTCGTGATTTATATTTGAAAACAGACATGGAATTATAAAAAAAATCAAAAAATTTAAAAAAAGTACAGCCATAGCTACCATGTCACCTCCCGGCACCCTATCCCCCACATGTCTAGCTACAAGCTTAACAAAATATCATAAAAATTGAAAATTCTTGTTAAATGCTGTTGTACATTTTCGTTTCGGTTTACTTCGTCATTCCAACGTCCATTTATTCATTCATTCATTTTACGCTTGTCGAGGAAAATAGTGTGTGCGTGTGTATGTGTTCGGCGTATTTCTCAAAGGTGCTGCAGCACCACCAACAACGATGAAAAACAAAAATTTTTGAAATCCACAGAACACAAAACAGCAACAAGAACAAAGTTTTATTTTTTGAGTTCTGTAACTGAAATATAACCAAAAATTGATGTATGGTTTTTGGAAAATAACCAAGCAACCGACCAGCACACATACACACACACATATAGACCTTCATGTTTGTAATTTTGTTTCCCTGTTGCTGCTGCCGTTCGTTTTTGTGTTTGTGACTTGGCTATGAATGCATTTTTATTTCGTTGTGAAATGTGGCAAAAGCACGCCAACAGCATCAATAACAAAAAGAGAAAGGTTAACATAAAGACAGAAACAACGAATGATATAAGTCCGGCAATATATTTATGATAGCAAAGTAGAATGTTCGAAGCATACAGGGTGGGGAATAGAGGCATACAGTGTGGAAAATCCTTATGAAAAATATATATTTAACAAATTTTGTGGTTTAGTTTTAGGTTCTTCAATACGAATGGGGGAAAACATTTGGAAGAGGAATATATATTTTAACTATGAATAGACGCCTTGTTGATAGCAAAGAAAATCCTAGATTTTGTTGATTATTTTTTTAAATACATTCACCATAAACGGTTCTTAGGTCCTAGCAAATCGTAGACAACACTGGAATTAAATCTCTTTGCCGGTTCTAAAGAATTGTGATATTCCCTTTGATGCATTCAATGGCATCAAAGTAGTGCCTTACGCTTCTTTAAAAATTTCACAAATATCTACCCCCAAAAGCTAACACGCACAATTTGTAATATGACCAGTAATACTCCCTTCCTCTCTCTCCTACCCTCCTCCCTCCTCATCTCCTTCCTGGCATTATCTATTCCATCACTGCAGTTAAAATCACTCACTTATCAGGCAATATTTGTTGTTGGTGTATCAATAACATCAAGCTTAAAAGTTATGCCAGTGTATGAGTGGCTTTTTCCCCAACACACACACGCACGAAAAACCTTAATATTGTTTTTACTAGCATGTATGCGTGTCAGTCTGCGTCTCTATTAAAGCCTAAGGGCCAAAACCAAAGATTGTGGTCTGAGTTCGGGGGATATTATTGTGTCTCGAGTGAAGTGGAGGGTTTCACCGTAACCAGGACAGCAACAGCAGCAATAACAACAAACTGGTGCATAGCTAACATTTGAATGGAAATGATGAACGATGGAGATGGTGTTGCTATGCAATATTTTTTGTTTGTTGTATATTTTGTTGTTGTTGCAGAACGGATATATTTTTTAAATTGTTTTCACCGGAACAATGACTCTTTAACTGGTTAACTGCAGACAGAGGAATAGAGTGGCGGACGGGCAGGCAGACATACAAACAGCCAGACAAGCAATGTAATGCATTGAACCCTGCTAGTAATACGTTATCGATGGCCCATCATCAGTTGTGTGTCATTATTGAGGTGAAGTATCCTCTCTTGTGGTCGGATAGACTATCAGTGTATAGGTGTGTGTGTTTGTTTGTATAGAAGACTGTGTTTTGTATGTGTTGTGGCAACGTGGCGCAAAAAAATCCCATTTCGTAATATTGTTTGTTGTATGTTTGCTTGCTTACCTCTTCCGGATTGCCATATGCTGTACAAATTAATGTATCCTGATCATCGATCTCCATTCTTTCAATTTCGCAACGTGGCTTGTCTGAAAAATTGGAAGAGATATGAAAACATACGTTATTTAAGTTTAGTATACAAAAAAGTAATTTAAATTGTAATAATATTAAATTCGTAATATTAGATAATTGTCACAAATTCGAGGTCGTAGTATATGTAACCTTGAATTAATTCTCATTATTTTAAATAAATAACAAAATTAAAAATAAAATAAAATACAAAATTACAAATTATTCATGGGTGCATTTTAAGCGCTTGTACTTATTTTTCCATCTAAATATTCTATATGAAGTGGTCGGATTGACCCTTCGAAATATTCAAATTCGTGTGGTAAAAATGCAAAAATTACCTACAAATACTTTTTAAATATCACGCTTGCAAATTATTTTTTGCAAACCTCCCAAATTTAGCTCTAATGTTGTGCCTAAAAACTTTTTAAAAAATATATTCTTATTGGAAAACAATAAAAAATAAGCATAGAAAAAAATTCATAGACCTCGGGGCCATGTTTTTTCTGTAGAAAAAAATAAACATAGACATTCAGGTCTATGTTATTTCTATACAAAAAAACTCATATACCCTCAGGTTTATATTTTTTTATTAAAGAAATCATAAAAAATTAAATCTATGGCCCACGTAAGAAACGTTTTGCGTTTAAAATTAAAAAAAAATCAGGCTCCTGTAACATTTTATTTTCTGAAACTTTCATTCTTTTATAATTATTGTAGTTTGGAAAAGGTAATAAAAACCTAGTTTAGCTGATCCTTTAAAATTTTTTTAAAGAATTTAGGTTCACAGAAGGTCCTTGCAAAACAATCATAAAAAATACAGGATTATTTCTTGGAAGATCCTTTTAAAATTTTCTAACAAAATCCAGTATCATTTCTCACGATTATTTTCAAAAGGTCCTTATAAAACATTCTCGCTTTTAAGTCTATTAGTCCTTGTAAACATATTCTTAAAGCTTTTCGGTCTATTAGTCCTTTTTAAAAATATTCTTAAAAAAGCCACGTTAATTTTTTAGAAGGTCCTTGTAAAAGTATTATGAAAAAACTTATGTTTATTTATAAAAAGGTCATTCTAAAATATTCTAAAAAACACCACGCTTATTTCTCATAAGGTCCTTGCAAAAGTATTCTTAACAAATCCCATATTTTTTTCTCATAAGGTCATTGCTTTAATATTCTGGAAAAGATCCTTGTAAAGAACTAGGATTATTTCCCAGAAGGCCCTTATAAAATATTTTCAGAAGATCCATTCAAAAATATTATTAAAAAAATTTTTCCCAAAAAGGTCCTTTAAAATATTTTAAGAAGGTCCTTTCAAAAATATTTTTTGAAAAAATTGAGCACTATTTCGAAGAAGACCATGGTAGAAATATTCCTAAACAATGTACGCTTACTTCTCAGAAGATCCTTGTAAAAATATTCTTAAAATGTTAACGCTTATTTCTCAGAAAGTCCTTGCAAAAATATTTTTAAAAGAACCCATGTTTATTCCTGAGAAGATAATTATTAAAATAGTTTTAAAAAAATCCGCACTTATTTCTCAAAAGGACCTCGAAAATTTTTTCTTAAAAAATAGACGTTTATATCTCAGAAGATCCTAGTGAAATGATATTTAATCATCTGGAAGTCCTTGTAAAAAAAAAAATTTAAAAAAATCAGGACACTATCTCTATTGGCTCATGTAAAAATATTCTTAAAAAATCCACACTCCAGTTACAACAATATCTCCGATGACCCTTGCAAAAATATTCTCAAAAAATAAATCCATACAGCTTTGTTTATCCTTGCAAAAAATTCAGTATTTTAACTTTGATGTTGCTTCAAATATTATATTCTTCAAAAAACTCACGCTTATAGCGCTAAAGATCCTTCCACAGAAATATTCCATAAAAAATATTCCTAGAAATCTACTCCTATAACACTGCAGTCTTAAAGCTCTTTTCGATCTTAGAAAAATACCCTTAAGAATTTCACGGTAGCTTTGATTCTGCAATGTTTTGTTCGTCGAAAATTCAGAACCTTAAATAAACAATTTTTTATTATTTTTTATTCGAAGGACATCACTATTATTTCCACATCCTAAAAAATAAATTGTTCCTACCTATAGTCCACTTTCTTTAATAAACCCAATAACTTAAATAGTTCACTATATGTGACAAAAACAAACAACCAAACAAAAAATATAAACTCAGTTTTTATTAAACCTTTATTGGTAAATTTGTGGGTTTATTAAATTTTATCCTTTTCTGGTCACAGCAAATTTTTTTGTATATCTCAACTAAATAAAAAACAGCACACACAGGATCACAAAATATAACCCTTTTTTCTGTTTGGGTGCATTTGACAAACGAGATTAAACCTCAACTTCTTTCCTTATGGTGTCACATAGACAAAAACACACACACTCATTCACACACATACATTTACACCAAAGCCTTATTAATAAAAACCTCAAAACATTGGAAATCATTTTTTTCCAGCCATAGAAATGAGAACAATACTTAACAGTAAAAGCTACACCAACATTTGGGTATACCCAGCCAAACTTTATGCCATAATCATAACAATCAACACCAAATGTTACCAACAACAGGTTCAATAGCCAGAACCCAATTGACGAGACACGAACAGCAACAAAGCCAACAACAACAAACTGAAACCATATCAAAGCGAAAAATATAAACCGGAAAAAGGACATAATCAAAAACATACTCCTCAACATCCAAGTAGAAATTTTTATAAACCCTTTTTTTGGTGAGTGTGTATGTGTGTGTTTGTGTTATTGCCCCTTTAGGTCACAATTGTTATTGTTGTTGTTGTTGCTGGGCGTATTTTTGTATGCCTGCCATCAAACACTTGATGGAGGTCTGGCGGTCGCCCATTCATTCGGTCTATTGATGATGTCTCTAGTTGATGGTGTTGGCCGCTTGATGGTGGCGACGGCTGGCGGTTTTCTGTGCTGTGGATAAATAGATGACTGCTTTTGGGATAACTGTTTTTTTGAGGAGTGTTGTTTTGTTAACTAACCGGGAAAAGTGGTCACATATGGAGGACAACACAAAAGGCCACAACCGCAAAACAACAACTTATGTGACGAAATGAAACAATGTTCGTGTCCATAACAGGCCAGCAACAACAACAACGATAAAAAGCAGCAACAACAAAAAATTGGAAACGTAGCAGAGTAAATTGAAAATCTATAAACATTGTTAAATGTTTCGTTGTTTGGATAAATTGTGAAAAAGTGGTTTTGTCAGTGGTGACAAAAAAAAGGGATATGGAATTAGGCGGGGCTGGTGTGTTAATTTTGGGGAAATTTAAATCAATACGGACATTTTTAAATAGGAAAATATTTTAAAACCAGTGAGGGAAGCAGTATAGTCGGACGGGGCCGACTATAGGATACCCTACACAACTACCATGGAATTCTAAATTTCTGCCGATGTTTATTCTGAGCCTGGGCAATATTTCGTGATATTTGCACCCTCTTGCCCGATTAGAGATCAACAGCACCTCTTCCTTACACTGACACATTTTTTTTGCGAATATTCCCATTAATGAGTGTAGCCCATTTGATTACTTGTCCAGATTCCCTTAACCGTATTGTGTTGTGATGTTGGGTTATAATTTTGGCCTATAGATCGACTCGAAAAAACATAAAAAATTAAGTTTTCGGTCCACTTCATCCCCAAAATTTTTATCTGATCATCACCGAAAATTATAGCCGATGTCCATTGAACATTTCTCTATATTTCCACCCTCTAGTGTGGTAATGGGTTACTAAATAATGTCTCTGTACGTAAAAACCTGTAAATATTTAAGTGCAACTCCCACATCTGAGTACATACGATCATATAATTGGTATCAATTTAAAGGTCAACCACTTCTCTTGGATATACTATACACTTCTCGGGTCTATGTCCTTCAGAATTACATGGAGAAGGGGATCTGGCCAAAACATATACGCTATAGAATAAACATTTTGTAATTTTTCACACAAAAGTTGGAGTCCATTTTTATCAAAACAAGCATGCTTATTTTTTGTCCCGATCCCCTTCTCCATGTAAAATTTCACGATGTTCGGACCATGATTCCGGCCTCTGGAGCGACCAGAAAAACCGACAAAAATTACGTATTTGGTCCATTTCATCCCCTAAATATGAACCGAATGAATTACCAAAAACAATAGGGGTCTTCATTGGCCAGAACCCTTCCTACATGCAAAATTTCGTCCATTTCATCCCCTAAATATGAACCGATCATTACCAAAAACGATTGGCCAGAACCCATCCTACATGCAAAATTTAGTGCAGATTGGTCCATAACTGTGTCCTGTATCGTGTTTACAATTTATAATGGATAGACGGACGGACATGTCTAGTTCGATTCAGCTACTCGAGATATGACGATCAGTATACTTAAAGGTGGGTCTAGGACCAATATTTCGCCGTGTTACAAACTATTGGTGCTGCACAAAGCTATAATACCCTGACAACATAGTTGTGTAGGGTAGAAATAATGTCTCTAATTCCTTCTAAAAATGCAATTTAAAATAAAGGCGGGGATTTTTTAAAAACATTTTGTTTCTTCAAAACATTTTTTAAGGGCCACCAACCGGAGTGGATATGTTTAAAACATTTTTTAAGGGCCACCAACCGGCGTGGATTTGTTCGAAACATTTTGTAAAGGCCACCAACCGGTGTGGATTTGTTCAAACCACTTTTTAAAGGTCACCAACAGGCGTGGATTTTTTTATTGTTTTTATTTCCCTCAATTCTCATTCCCTCCTCGTATATTTAACACCAAATATATATTTTCCATTTATATTATTCTTGTGTGTGTGTGTTTTTTTTAATTCATATATTGGTTTCTACTTACATTGGACATCAATGAATGTTTCAGCGGAACTGCGTCCATGTTTGTTATAGGCCACACAAGTGTAACGACCGCTATCATTGCGGGTCATGGGTGTATTGATGATTAAGGCATTGCCGCGTATAACCGTTTTGTCATTGAAACGCCATTCATAAGTTGGTTCTACAAAAGGAAAAACAAAAATATATATAAAATAAAAATGGAAGTAAAAAAGAGAGATTGCTATGAGTTTAAGCCAGAAAACCCCATTAAAGTCATAAACAATAATTTCAGAACTGAATAAAAAAGTTACAAACTAAAGGGTGGTTTATTTTTTTATTTATTTATTTTTTTTGTAAAATATAACACTTACCAGGATTAGCTCTCGATTTACATATGACACGTCCCGGTATTGTTTCCTCTGGTACATAAACAACTTCTTCGGATACAGTGGTATTATCGGGTGCATCTGTCACATGAGAGAAAAATGGAGAAAAAATACACAATTCAGTAAATATTTTGAAAATAAAAAAAAACCAAGGCCCAATAATATTTTATGCATGAGGCCATGAGGTTTTTGCATATCTTTTTTATGAACACACCAAACAACAACAACTGCAAACCAACTATGTGACACATATGTCAGGGGCATTTTTAAACATTTTGCTACAGTTTTTTTTCTTTTGCGAAAAAATTGGAGATCTCCATTTTTCTGTGATGGGCAGAATATTATCTAGATTTTTCGTTTCAGGGCGTTTCATTTGTTTGTTTGCCATTGTTGTTTGGTTTGCTGCCTTTATGGGATTTAAAAAATCCTTTTTTGGTGGTTATTTTGTTTTGTGCAAAACTTACATTCGATACTGAAATAAGTGGCACTTTTGATGCCCGGTCCCACAGCATTGCCAGTCGAAATGCATGTATAATTGGCATTATCTCCTTCAATGTCAAATTTGTTATTTGGCCAATTGGACATATTAAAATGCTGCAAGCCAACATTCCATGGGGGAGAGAGATTTGAGAGTGAATTGGAAAAAAAGAGAAGACAAAAATATTGGGATTAAAATGATAAAGAATAAAATACGAAATAAAAAGTTCAAAGAAAATGGGTCATATTGGAAAGTTTGATATTGTTCGGATATTTCAGAGACAATTTTAAACCTTTTGTAAAGTTTGACATGATATAAATATTGTTTCTCTTTAACTTTAGAATAAAAACCTATAAATATGTAACATATAAAGAAAAATGTTGGACCTGAGGAACATAAAAATATTCTAAAAATTATGAGGAATTTGATTTTTTTAAATAAAAATACGACCCCACTCTGACGAACTTCAATAAGAGAGATATACATCTAATTTTTTAACGATTTGAAAAAAATCGGTTAACATTTAGATATATATATATATATGGAATCAGAAGAAATTATATGTGGCATCCATATCGAAATCTGAACCGATTTCAATAAAATTTAACGTTCGGAATTTTATACTAACTTCGGGAAACTATACCAAATTTCGTGGCAATCGAACAATCTTCGGACCTTTGATGCACTATTTATAACAAATCGGACGAAATTGGCATCTATATGCAAGTCTGCAGCCATATGCAAATCTGTACCGATTTCAAAAAAAAAAAAAAAAAAATAATACACTTTTATACAGACTCAATTCGGTGCGCGATGTAAAATTTTGTATCAATGGTTCCACATTTACCTGAAATCGGACGAAATTATATATGGGAACTATATCTAAATCTGAACCGATTTGAAGTAAACTTGACAAACCTTATTAAAGACTCAATTCATTATGATGTACACATTTTCGATTCGATCGGACAAACGTCGGCTCTTTCGTGCACCATTTACCTGAAATCGGACGAAATTATATAAAGGAGCTATGTCTAAATCTTAACCGATTTCAAGCAAACTTGATACACGTAATGGTAGACTCAATTCAGTAGGCTATGCTAAATTTCGTTTCAATAGGATGAGATTTATGTGATTGAAGCACCATTTATCGAAAATCGGATTAAATTATAAAGAGGAACTATATATAAATCCGAACCGATTTTGACCAAATTTGTCACACTTCATTTTAAACTTAATCTGGTACGCTGTACAAAATTTCGTGTCAATCGGACAAACTTTGGAACTTCGGTGCACTATTTAAATCAAATCGTATGAAAATTTATATGGGAGCTTTATCTAGATCTGAACCGCTTTGGACCAAATTTGATACACTTTGTTTTCAACTCATTTCAGTACGCTTTGCCTAATTTCGTGTCAATCGGACAAGCATTGGGTCTTTGGTGCACCATTTACATAAAATCGGACGAAACTACATAGGGGAGCTATATCTAAATCTGAACCGAGTTTGACCAAACTTTTTACAAATTATCCTAGACTCTTTATGGGATGCTGTACAAAATTTCGTGTCCGTCGGACAAACTTTGGGACTTCGGTGAACTATTTATTTGAAATCGGAGGAAAATACATATGGGAGCTATATCAAAATCTGAACCGATTTTAATTAAACTTGGCACAACTCTTCCTAAACTCAATTCAGTAAGCTTTGCCAAATTTCATGTCAATCGAATAAACTTTGAGTGTTCGATGCATCATTTCCATAAAATCGGACGAAATTATATATGGGAGCTATATGAAAATCGGAACGGATGCGGACCATATTTGACACACTTTATTTAAGACTCAATTCAGTATGCTATGCTTAATTTTGTCTCATTCGAACAAGCTCTGGGTCTTTGATCCACCATTTACATAAAATCGAACAAAAATATGTATGGGAGCTATATCAAAATCGGAACCGAAGTGGTCAAAATTTTACACTCTACATTTTGGACTCAATTCAGTACGCTTTCCCAAATTTCATGCCAATCGGACTATGGAGGTTTGATGCATCATTTACATAAAATCAAACGAAATTATATATGGGAGCTTAATCTAAATTTGAACCGATTTCCATCAAACATAACTGACGTAATTTTACACTCAAATCGGTACGCTGTGCTAAATTTAGTGTTAATCGGACGAACCTGAGGTCTATGGTGCATCATTTATATGAAATCGGATGGAAATATATAGTGAAGTTATATCTAAACCTGAACCGATTGTAACTAAACCTAACATCCATCATTCTAGTCCTTCTGCGTTAACCTCCATAATAAAGGGTATAACCACAACGAAAATATATGATTTCCCATTAATGAACTTCATAACCATTGAACTTCTCAGACTAGCTTTGATAGTTGGTTTTCCTCTTAAAAGTGTTGCTATGACTTGCCACGAGTACCTATGTACAAACATCCTTGGAACTCTATGACATACAATTTATTACTTTAATTAATCTCAATTACAGTTTTCAAGTCAAAGCAAGTGATGCTGTTTCACAAAAGGAACTGTGGCAAAAGACGATGACAGACGACGGACGACAATGCCACTGCATTTGGTTTCTTAATAAAAACACAGGCTTCCATACAGCCAGAGTAAACTACATTAGTGTAAGAGAGTGTGTGGGTGTGTATCTATGTGTGTTTGTGTGTATGTTTGCATTCTACTTACCAGTACCGACAGCATACTCTCAAAATCACCCGTTGCCGGTGAGGCATCCATATACTTGTCTTTGACAAAATACCGTGTATCATTTTTCTCAATGGGCACGCCATCCTTTAGCCAGGATATTTCACAGCGTGGTACACATTCGATGCGACAAGTTAGATTGGCATTGCGAGACGTGTGCAACATTCCGGTGTACGGTGGCAGATTCTTGATGAAAAATGGTGGTGCATGTACCTCCAAATTGACTGTGGCCATGGCACCTTTGCCGCCCGCATTAAAGGCATAGCACGAATAGTTGGTACGGCTGTCAAGGCCCACCGGTTCGATGGTGTAATCCTTGGTGTCGGAGTTGGTGGGGCGGCCGCCACGCAGCCAACGGAAGCTGGAGGGTGGATTGGAGGTGCGTGCATTAAAGGAAAATTTACCCATTTTGCGATAGAATTCAATCGTTGATGTTGGCGATGATGATGATGACGAGGACGACGATGACATGGAGACGGATGTCATTGCATCGTTGTTGTAGCCAAAGTCATAGCCATTATTATTAGTCGTTTGAGGGTAGGTGTGTTGTTGTTGTTGTCGTTGCGTACGAGTTGAGGGTACATTTGTTAGCAATGTTAAGATTTGTTGTTGCGGCGTAAACGTGGTCAAGGTAAGAAGAGAGCAGGGAGAATTGTTTGTTAAATCAATTAAGACATGAGTTTCTTTAAGCACATGCTTGGCTGCTTGCGTTGAGGTTGTAGCAAACGGATTTTTTCCATGCAGACCACCAGATTTGTGACGACCAGACAACAAATTCCGGTCATGTGTATGTGGCAGTGGTGGTGAAGGTGGTTGTGATGATGATGTGGTGGCTGTTGTTGGATAATGTTGTGGGTGTTTGTATTGTGATCCTGTTTGGTCTTGTTTTAGAAAATGTTCGCCAATTAAAGCTTCATAAGCTTCTTCAATTTCAGAAGCTGTTAGAGCTTGTACCGTGTAAAAGTGAATTTGTGGTGTTGGTGGTGGTAGTGGTAACGATGCGGATGATGATGATGGTGTTGGAGGTGGTGGTGCCTTGATTGAACTTTTTTTTTTTGGATATTGCAAACCATAAAAACATGAACACAAAAGCAATGGCCAGCGGGATAAATGCCAACACAAAATAACAACAACAATAATGATGATGGATATGGAAATGTTTGGTAATGAAATGGTAGATGGTTAGGAATGTGTATATGTATATATTTTTTAAATGATATATGTTTATGTATGTATGATTGCATGCTAACATGCATGTTTTTAAACAAAAGGAAATCAAAATATTGTATACGTACCTATTTGTTTCGGGATATCCTGGATCATCAACGGAACATGAAAAGGTAACACTCTTCTTTTTCACAGCAATCAAGGGGAAGTGGGCAATGCTGGCTGGACCTGGTTCGTATAAAACCTTTGGGGAGAAATTAAAAAAAAAAAATAATTAGAAGATATGAAATATGATAAATCTTGATATAATGGAAGGTTAGGAAGGGGTCCAAATAAGAAGGTGTAAAGTTACTTAATGTGGGAAGTTACTTAAAGTCGGACGAAGCTCCTGACATGAGTTATATATAAATCGGAAATGAGGTTAGCAAATCGTAACGTACGAAATTTTAGTCCCTTTACAAAAGTTCGTATCAACCGGGCAAACGCTGCGTCTTTGTGTCTAAAATCGGTTCAAGATATATGTGGAAGTTATATCTAACACAGACTCAATCAATCATTTAGCGACGAAGTTTGCGTCTTTGGTGCATCATGTTTATAAAATCCAACGAAATATATTTGGGAGCTATATCGAAATCTGAACCGATTTCAAGAACTCTTAACAGTCTTCATTCTTAAGCCAATTCGATAAACTGTGTCTAATTTTTTGTCATACTAGCCTCAAAACAGATCGCTACGCTAAATTTCTTGTTAATCGGGGAATTTATGGGTCGCTGCTGCACCATTAACATAAAATCGGACCAAAATTTGTGTGGGAGCTATATATAAATCTGAATCTGGTGTCAAGTTTTATCTCAATCAAATAAAAAATATGATCTGCATTCTGTTTTCAAAAATACATTGACAGATGGACGAAAGATCGAAACAGATGGCGATTCCAGGAATAGAATCCAAAGGGCCTATGGTACTATCTTCTTTACTTTTGTTTACAAAGTCCTTATACGATGTACCTATACCATTGGAAGTTCTCATACCCTGTACCGGTACAAAATTGTTATCAGCCCATTAAAATTGTTTTCCAATATTTTCACAATTTATATTGTCATCATATATATAAAAAAGGAATATCCATAAACTTCCTCCCTTTTGTTACGACTTAAACAAAGCAATTTAAACTTACCAACAATTCCTTATCATCACTGCGTGGTCCCCAACCGGCATCATTATAGCCCTCACAGGAATAATTATAGAAAAAGCCACGTCCAATACTTTCCAATAGCAATTTACTGGGATCAATGTGACACAAATCCTCCTACAAGAAAAAAAAACACATACACACATAAGAAAATAAAGCAATAAGAAAAATATACAAAAAAAAAAAAACATTACAACAAAAAGTATATTGTTAAGCTTCTTGTAAATGACAAGACATAAAAATGTCTCTCTTACCCCGAGAAATAAGTCTCAAGGCTACACAACAACAACAAAAAACTTACTTTAGTCTCTTCACAATCGGGCAATTCCTTTAGCAATGTTGAATTGGCATACCAACGAACTTTCGTAAGCACCGGAGGATTGGCATCAATAATTTTACAGATCAATGTGACATTGGCCTCTTCACTTTCTTTGACAGAGTCGACGGGTGTCATTAATACCTCGACGGTGGGGACATCTGTAAAAATAAAAAAATTATAAACATTTAAATTCAATTGGAATTTTTCTGATTTTTAAAATATTTGTCAACTTACACAACACATCCAAAAAAATCTGCTGTTCGGAAGTACCCTTGCCAGCCTCATTGGTTAATTCGCAAGTATAATTGCCAATATCCTCTTTGTTGGCGTGGCGTATGGACAGGGCAACATGTTCCGAATTGCCGCCTTTGTAATGATCATTATCGCTAACGTTTAAGCTTACACCATTGCGATACCTTAAAAAAACCAACAAAAACAGAAACATTAATGTAATAAAATATTAAAAGGACATATGTATTGCATACTTTGAGGGGGGTGGGGACTGACTTAATATTTATTGCATAAAATAACTTAAATATATTTTTGGGGCGCCAGACAATATCTCTTAATTTTTGTTGTTTTTCCATTTTTTATTATTGCTGTTAATTAACACATTTGTTTATGCCTTCCAACCAGGCAAGCAATCATTTCGCCCTCATCTCTCTTTCTCCCTTTTTCTGTATCTCCCTTGTGGTCTGTTCTGTCTGCCATAATGTTTTCACAAAAAAATTTAATTTAAATTCTCCCCCAAAAAAAAGTACAAAAACCAAAAATGATAATAAAAAAGAACAACAACACCACCGACATCCTTAAATCATCATTACCCACCAGCCCCAACAATAAATACCTGAACGGAAGGATATAAACTTCCTTTGGTTTTGCAATTGTTTTCCAATACCTTTTCACATGGTGAATGCAAAACAAATGTTATAATAATGCCACTGCGAGAGCGCACACAGACACCGATACACGTGTGTGTGCGATTTTTTCTCTTATCCTTTGTTTAACACACACACAGTCATTTTTGTGGCATATTTAAGGGCGCAACCGAATCGATATGAACAACATTATCATATACATATACCAGGACAACATGGCTTGTTTACATGCACTACCTGTACTACCGAGTCCGACAAGTGTTTTTAATATGTCTACATTATTATGGTGGGAATGTGGTAACAGCAAGGGAAAAGAAGGGGGAGATTGATGGTCAGACGATTTAAAAAACGATATTAAATTGTGAAATTAACTTAAAGAAAAGTATTAAAAATGCGGCATGTACTACATAATAGATCATAGCTGATGACAGTAGATGTTAAGGTCAACTGAGGACATCTACACAAGACTAGATGGCGGTTGCCCTCATTTAGTGTAATGTGTAGTGCAACTGGTTCGAAAATGTGCTACTGTAGGTGGCGATACATGTCATCCCTTTACAGTAAATGCGATCAGAGGACACTATACCCCACCAGATGGCAATAGAGGCTATCAATTTTGCCGTACATGACAGAAGATATAACCTCCTACTACAGGGATCATAAAAGGTATATATACTATATAACATGACAACTTGTATCTACAATATAGAAGTTGACAGTTGATGCCCTCCACTGCATAATATATGATAGCTACTGTCAGTAGATTTCATGGTTAATTGAGGACATCAACACAAGGCTAGATGAAAACCCCCGCCATTCAGTGTAACTGAATTAGAATATATGCTACTGTAGATGGTATAAGATATTATCCCTTTACTATAAATGAAATCAGAGGTAACTATGCCCCGATAGATGGCACTAGAGGCCACAAGTTTGTAGTAGATGACAAGAAGATATATAAATCATATATATAATATATAACATGACAACTGAGGTTATCAACAATATAGCAGTTGACAGTTGATGCCCTCCACTGTTCAGTAGAATACAACTGAGGTCCTCTATGGAACATTATATGACAATTGAAGCCCTCTATAGTACATTATATGACAAATAAGGCCCTGTAATGTGTAGTAGTAATCTAGGCTACTGTATATGGCATTAGATGTCATAGCAGCCAAAGTAAATGAGAATTGATGTCATCTACGCCCACCTAGATGTCACTAGAGACCACAGAGATCATCTACTCCATTGTAGAAGACAAACAAAAAATAATTTCACATATATTATATAATAAATCCGGCCATTTACTATATATTACATGACAACTGAGGTCATCTACAATATTGCAGATGACAGCCGAAGTCCCCTACTGTGCACTTGATGGCAACTGAGGTCATGTACTACTATGGACCTAACAACTGATGTCGAATGCTATGAAGAATACGGATACTCCGCATCTAGACATTAGATGTCATATACGACATAGTAAATGAGAACAGGTGAAGTCTTCCCTCTGCTAGATGACACTAGGGGTTCTCCACTGCATAGTAGATGATAACTGATGCCATCTGCAGTATAGTAGTTGACATCTGCAATATCGTAGTTCACAATCCAGATCAACTACTATATTAAACATTATCTACTTGACTGTTAGTATTGTATGATTGATCTGCTGTCCCAGATAATGGGTCTGCCATCTATTGTTGCCTAGAAACAACGTGACCTGGCATTTTTTGCAGAGGTTGTGACCATTGCTCAATTAGTGTTACAATTTTTTCACTGTGCTTTTGTTATTCCAGCAAAGTATATGATTGTTTTGCCTTATCCTGTCCTAGATTATATGGCTGCCATCTGTCGTTGCCTAGAAACAACTCCGCTTTTGAATTTGTGCAATGGTTGGAGTCAATGCTTATCTACCTGTTTTATGTGATATTCATGTGTTGACGTTGGTAATAAGGTTCAGAGTGATTACATCTGGAGATCGTTGAAAGAATTTGTAGATGGCAGCTGTGATCATCTACTCCCTAGTAAAGGTCAGTGGGTCATCCAATGGGCTGTAGATGGCAGCTGAGGTCCTTTACTCCTTTGTAGAGGTCAGCTGAGTCCATCTTCTCCATTATTTTTAAGTTTTTCTTGTTTCCAGTTTCTTTTAATATCTCATTTTACACTCGTACCTCCTTAAATCGTTAAATATGTGTATGTATTTATGTGTATTACAAAACGAAAATCCGTTCTGCTATGATTGTATATGTTCGAGTGTAATTAATTTTAATTATTGCAATGCAATAAGCTGAATTGCTCGAAAGTTAATGACCTCACACCATATTTCAACACATAAATACGCAAACACTCACACATGTATATAACAAATAGCTATGTATAACAGTAAAAGCAAAGATCTATGTGGGTGTTTGTGGATGTATTTTATGTTGCAGGCTCACAACACAAGACCTGCTGTCAAAGGAAGGAATCATGTCGAGTTTAACCAGACCAATTCTGCAAGCAGTAAGGCGGGCCAGACGGGCTGACTGGCTTTTACTCAGCCGAACGAACGAACCATTGCAATCTCATTACAATCGAATTTTATTGTAATTTTTTTATGGTTCCATGCCTTATTTTTTCTGGAGTTGTTATTATTGCTGTTGTTGGTTTTTTTTCGGGCATATCTACCACCCACCCGTAAAAGTCATTTTCATTTTTACAGGACAATGCGTGGCATGACGATTTTCTCTCCTTGTTGGTGTTTTTGTTTTTCACCACTCTTGTAGCATTTAAATACCGGGGATGTGGCTTTAATAGCTAACGGAAAAGTATTAAAAAATATATATTTGCTACGCTTTGGCTTCGAATTCCTTTTCATTGAAAGTAGAGGGCTGGCTGCATTTTTCTGTTGTTTTGTTTTTTACTCCAAAAAGTATACTTCAATTTTAATAGTATTATTATGTATTGCCATTAAATGTATTAAGATAATGACGCTTTTCAGCCAGCCAGCCATCCAGCCAACCAGGCACAAAGAGTCGAACATTTCCAGTTGTTGCTGTTGTTATTTTTATGCTACTGCCATTTCACCATTTTTGCCCATTGTTATTGGCCTCGTTAGTACAAATGGCTGCCACAACGCACACAGAGTGCGGAGTTACTTGCAGCTCACTCACTCAGCATTGAATGAATGAATGAACGGTAAGTAATGTCCCATAATTATTGTTTAATTTTTATTTCAATAAAGGACCAAAAGGATTTTTTCTCGCATTTTTATTGAAAAGTTATGCCAGAGGGCCCATAAAAAAGAGCGACATTTGGAACTGGTTGGCCGCTACCCATTTCAAGAGGTTATAATTAAGCAACAAAGTGTTTAGTAGCAGCGAGTCGGAGAAAAAAAAAACAAAATAATGTTCGTTCGTTTGTTTAACAATGTAAGTTAAGTTGTAAAAATGTTGTTGTAAGGATAACATTTATAGTTGGCCATAATGATAGCAAAATTATGTGAAATATAAAAAGCAAATGAATTGTTGACATTATGGTCAAAGGGTGTTTTTCAATGCGAAAAAGGGATAATTGTTAATGGCGGTATTTGTTTTCTGTAGTAATCCGGATTATGGATAATTATAGAGGAATTATCGATGGAGGATGTCAATGACGTTCTTTAGAAGGATGAAAAGAAGGATTAAAAAAAAAGAATATTAGTTGGGAGATGAATTACAGTTTTTTTGAGACGGATGACTTTGATTGGTAAAAATGTAAAAAATGCATATTTTAGTAGTAGACTATATTTATGAGGTATACATTTAGGTGTTTGTAGTTTTAAACATGCCATGAATAACACATAAGGAAAACTAAAAATTTATTTTATAAAATCTAGATTTATCCCAAAAATATATATATAAAATGTAATGCATACTTTTAGGTAGCGCCTTGCCATGAATTACACATAAGAAAAAATACAAATTTATTTTGTAAAATCTGTAGTGTTGGCGGGTTATTTTGATAAAAATACAAACAATTAAGTATTTTTAAAAATGAGAAGTATACTTTCAGGCGGCCTTTAAAATATGATGTATGCTTTTGGGCAAAAAACAAATGCAGAAGGCACTGTTCTAAATAAATTGAGAAAGGAAGCTATTGCATCCCATTAAACTAAAATACAGTCATATGTGACATAATCTGCTATATAATATAATTTTTAAGAGGCCTTGGACATATACCAAAGGTAGTCCATGGGCCTTCCAAAGTAGTTTGTATGGATGTCATTAGAAAGATTTCGCATAGGTATACGATGTTTAAAAGATATTTCATATACAAGAGGCTTGTGGTAAGGACTTTAAAAATTCTGCTATAAATATAATACCCTGCAAATGTTCTCCATAATTAACCTTCAAAAAATCCTTCCGGTAAGGACTTTAAAAATTTTGCGTGCAAATGTTCTCCCTAGGTAATCCTTCAAAAAATCGTGATGGGAGACTAGACTACGAAAGATCTTCTGAAGATATAATACTTTCTAAAGTTATGCTTCTGATATCAAACCTTGTAGAGGTCAT